AAAAAAAAAAGGAGAGCATTTCGTCGCATGGCTGAGCCACGGCCGAGATTAAAAAAAAAAAAAAAAAGTCCACATGCAGGACTGGACTGGGGCCTAGACCCACTAAAGTCCTCCCCCCCCCAATACAAAGTACGGTCATTATATCTGTATTTAGTCTGAAAGATACCCCAAATTCAACTATAATGACTGTGCGTTGTATTCGGGGGAAGACTGTAGCATCGCGGAAAACGGTGTGTGGCGGCCGTTTCTTTAGAAAAAACATATAAAGAATCCTTATTTTCAATTTCAGAAATGCAAAGAAAACAAGGCCTGCCATAAATGAAAATATCGCTCCGGATGGCAGGCGCCAAGCATTCCCTGGCAGGTACATGATGCCAAATTGAATGAGGATTGAACCCAAGCCCTCCTGAATGCCACTTGCATGTCATACCAACTGAGATAGGCTACTGATAGCTTGTTGGACCGCCCAATTGGCATTAAAAAGTAGTCTCTGCTGACGTTCATAGGGGGAGGGGCAATCGGGGAGGCACAGCGACTGGCCACTCAGATGATGCTCAGTCCCTCTGCTACTGGCTGTCCCCTGGCCTGTGTTCCCCGTTGGGGGTTCCCTGAAGGCAATCAAGGCCACCCTGGGCTGAAAAGGCCACCCGATGTCAGATTACACACAATATTGAATTAAACTGGGCTGGTTAGTCCCATGATAATACCTCAAGGCCATCGAAACAGATCACTCTGACATCCACATCATGACAGTACATCAAGAGCATCCACATTTCACCGGTGTTCCCGTTCAACAGAGCAACCCTGCAAGCAACCCTGCAAGTTGGGCAATGCCTTCGCGGTGCATCTGAATGCGACCGGCCCGCCAGCCTCTTCAGATGTATCTGGCCGTACCATGTCGCCATGTGCACGGTCTTCCCTGTCGTTTGAACGATAAGGCTTGGTGTTGAGTCGAGTGGAAACAGTATAAGCCAGTACCTCACACCTCTTTCCATTTGTGGCCAAGCCCGCCGGTTTTCGTTGTGGCATTAATACGATTGCCGAGGGTTACACATAGAAGGCATAGACCTACCCTCACCATTGATCGCAGTTTTACGGCAGCAGATCCTCCGCCGTACTTAGGGCAGACCTTTGTCAGATACCGGCGGGTTTAGCAGGTAGAACAACTGCTGTAACTAACCCTGGAGAAGAGGTCAAATCCAATTTTGAGGCGGCCTGTGTTTCTGCATCTGAACTTGAAAGGAGACCAGGTTCATTAGATTGAGCTGGAAGATACCGCAGCAACTGTGAGCCGGCCTCTGAAGTAACTCTCGGCTCTTGGATAACTACTTGGCCCATGAGGGCCCCTTTTTCCGCAGGGGTCCATTGGGACTGGACCCCGCATGTAGCGGACCCACCAGGTGTGGTGCTCCGCTAGTGATAGAGATGGAGATGGAGGAAGAAGGGGGGAGCGAGATCATCCGAGATGTACAGCACAGCTCCCCACGCAAAACTCCAACGCACGTACTCCAAAATGTGCCAGTGTAGAATGAGGACGAAAACAAACAACTGCTGGGGTATACCCCAGCGAACTGACGGGACCGGACTGGACTGGCTGGTACCGACAGAGGTACCGGCCTGGACTGGACTGGACTGCCCCCGAATAGAACACAGGCCTGTGAGAACAGGCCAAGGGGCTGGTCTCATAGGCCAACCAGAGGTCCGCTACACGATCCTCGGCCTGTGATGGATCGCCTAGATGCAAACGCGCTTCCGCCAAGAAGCGGAACTCTACCAAAGAAAAAGAAAACCTGAGTAGTCTAG